TAGGGAAGATGAAAAGCAGGAAACACATATACAATTAATATAATTTGAAGAGAAAACATTTTAATTAAAAGCAAATTGAACAATTTAGTTCATATACCCACCGAAAATGGGGGAAAACTAAGGCATACATTTTTTATTGGGCGCAAACTTTCTGTGTATTGGCTTAGTCGTGACGCAGTGCCGAGCATTTTGTGTCAAGTTGATTACCAACCACAGAAAAACGCCATGAAAAATGTTATATACACTTACCTCGATAGAAGCTATAGCCATTATTTGTATAGGCAAGGGAGCAGATGATTTGATGCGTGTATCACGACAAAAAATATTTGTTAATTTTGCCAGATCCTGACACAGACAAAAGCGACATATTCGCTTCCTTTTCAGCTCAGCTTGCAAAGCATCATAATCCAAAGTAGCCATTGTTGTGGTCTTTTTTTTAATTTAATTTTATTTCTTTTATATTTAATATATTTCTTGGCAAAGATAAAATAATTTTTTCACTACAATTGTCTATGAAAATCTTCACAAATAATAATTTCACTTTGTTGTGCACACACAAGATGGTGGATGACTTTACTTTCCAACACAGCTGTCAAAATCCAAGCCATAAGTTGTAGTTACATTTTAAACCGTCAGAGGGCGCTTTACAGCAAACAAAACATTTAGTACTATTGTGACTAAGAGAAAATGACAGTATTTCATTCACAATAAGAACGAAGCTAAGCAATTGAATATTAAATTATAGATAAAGAAATTTTTGTTTTTTTAATTTGTTTTGTTTTAAAACTCTTTTATTATAAAAATAATTATATATTTCTTTTATATTAGGTGTTTTTATTTTAATTAATGTTTTATTTATATTTTTGTGTTGTTTTTTTTTGGGTTCATTGCTTTGTTAGCTATGAAATATATATAAACATTCACAATTACCGGAAATAGTTTTTTATTGTTTGTTTAAAACTTTGGAATTATACGATCTTTCAACCAAAGAAGGTGTCCTTTACTTAGTGTTATTTATCTTAAAAATAAATCTTTGTTCACTCCAATCTAATGGTCCTTTTTTCATAAGAACCATTGATTAGAAAAATATCAAAAAAAATTCTCTTTAGTTGTGTTTTTCCAACTCTTTTTTTTATTAATTATTTATACTGAACATTTCAATTTTTTACATAATTTTGTTATAAAAAAGAACATGTTTTAAACATTACCGTTAAATATATGTATTTTATTTGTTGTTATTGTTATAAATAATTTTGCGTTTATTAATTAGTTTTATTTTGTTCTAAACAAATTGTTCATCACCATTAATTGCTATACGATTTTGATATTATTATTATTGTATTTAAGCGATTTGAAAATACAAATTACATTTGAAATAAAATTAAAGTCAAAATATTTAAAATATAAAAAATATTTTTATATATACAAAGCAAATAAAAATAAAGCTTTTAATTAATTTTATTGTAATTATTCGCCTCAAATAAAAATGAAAAACTTTCAAAAACACAAAACACATATTTATGAATAAAACTTGAGGTTGGTTTTGTTAATTAAATTCAACTTTAAAAATAATGTATTAAAAACGCTTAAAAGTATTTTTACACAATAAAATCATAACTATAGCAAAGCTTTTTTTTTCAAAATCTCAGCTTTCATTATAGAAATCATATTCAAAAATTAAATTATAGAAATTTCTATAAAAATTATATGTTGTTGATGCTAAAAAATATTTTAAAATATTTTTGTTATGATTAAGCTCTTTTTTTATAAAAAACTTGTTACGAAAAATCTAACAATTCATCAACTAACAATTTATTATACAACAACACACACTCCATTATAGACACTTTAAACTGTTAATAACCATATAAGTTGTTTTCTTAGGTAGAGGTAGTTGATTTTTGTCCACCATTCAGTTTGGGAAAGTTTTGTGTTAAAGCATGCATTTTTCGATGAGCATCTAAATCGTTTTGCATCAATACCTGTTTACAAGTCGAACAAACTTCTAATTTTGGCAGTGATTTACGTTGTTGGGGTGACATATTATTTAAACGCTGTTGATGTACCAAATATAGGGCCTAAAATATAATTGTTTTAATAAAATGCTTTTGTATGTTTGGCATGATGATTACCCACCTGTTGTTTGCTGATATCTGGTAGTAAAACTAAAAGTTCGGGAAAAACTTTATCAAATTTATCCTTTAAGGCAGCTTGACAATGTTCATAGTAGGCGTCTGTCTTATATACACCCTCTCGAAACTTTTGCGATATATGGCGGAATTCTTCTAAACCTTCGGGAGTTTTTAAGGCATCTTTAAAGAATCCCACTAGTTTCTGAAAGACGTAAGAGTTAGAACGAAAATTTAAAAAGAACTTTGTTCATTTTGTGTTGATCTTTTTTCTTTACCTGATTACGTGCTAAAGCATCGGCTGGTGCGGTATATGAATGTGCCGGCAAAATGCTGTAGCTTTCACCCAACGAGCTGGTAAATGTTAAATTGTTTGGCGATTTGGCCACAGAATTAACCGTTACATTGGTTGTTTGAAATCCTGGTGGTGGTTTCATTGACGAGTTGCTACTTTGGAAACCTGGAGGAGGACGTAATGGTGATGATGACTGTTGTGTATTGTTGCCATTTGTTAGATTATTTTTCGATGTTTTATTTTCGTTGTTTTTTGCATCCTTTTTCTCCTTGGGTTTCTTATCTTTTTGTTTATTATTCGTAACATTGTTTTGATTGTTGCTATTCGTAAGGCTCGCTTGCTTAGCAGAGCCGCCACCACCAGTATTACTGTTTTTGGGCAATAGAGGAGCAGGAGCTATTTTATTTTTGCGATTTTCTAAATCTTTTTGTTTTTTATCACTCATTGTTGACTTAATCCAGGAATTACTGGCTGAGGATTTGGCCGCCGAAGAACCACCGCCTAGAGAGGGAAAATCTTGGGTAGTCAACTTGGGAGCATTTCTAGCGGCAGCTTCTTTGCGGGCCTTTGTTTCCATCTCTTCCTTTTGTACCATTTGGATTTTTTGGAAATTGGCAGGATTTGCTACGGAAACATAGTCGTCCACCAAAGAACGATGTTTCGAAGGAACCGAAGACATGGGCAAGTTAACACCTGATGAAGGCATATCCTCTTCCAATATGGCTTGTTTTGCTAAAGATTTTTTCGATTTGCCCATTGGCAAAGCCGGGAAATCCATAGCATTCGATTTCTTATTGGAGGAGGCTGTTGCATTCGATGTTGAGGGGCGATTTGAAACATGTATAACCATGCCGTTTGTACTTGTTGAAGGCATATTATTGGATAAGCCATGGCGCGGTATGGCACCAGTAGCGCTGGCAGGTTGTTTTCTTAACACATTCGATATGTGTGGTGGAGCTCGTCCGCCGCCACCACCACCACTACCTGCGCTACCGCTGTTTGTACCTATACTATTGACTGCGCCACCTAAAGCCGGAAAGTTTTCTTTTGTACGAGCCAAACCGGACATACGACTGCGATTTAGTATAGCAGGCGGTGGTGGTCGTGTTAAAGACACACTGGGACCTGTTGAGGCGCCAGCCAAAGAGGGAAATTCTTGTTCACTACCAGGATCTATATTGGGACGTTGCTGATTAGTATTTTGGGTTTGATAATATGAAGGTTCTTCCATCTCAGGTTCAATATCATTGTTGCTGCAATTAAGTCAAATAGATATAAAATAAAAATCATTCTTTTGATATAAAATTCCACTTACCCTCTTGTTCTCATATTTGCTACACCCTGCTCCGTTTGTCCTGATCTTCCACGCGGTCCCAGCGTTATTTCCAATTGCAAAGTACGTGTTTGTTTCGCCTGCTGCTTGTTCATGCCCTTACCATGAACATTAGCTACATGAGCTTTATAATCGATCTCTGTACGAAAGGCGCCCGTAAATTCTTCGGTAGCACAACGTCCCTCTTCACACAGATAGTGATCGCGACGGAAATGCTCTGCCAAAGCATTGTAATCACGATAAAACTCATTACAGCCATCAGCATCACAAAAATGACAATAGTAATGTTCACGCCGCAAATGACGAAACAGCTCATCACGATCCAAATAACGTTTATTACAATATTCGCACAAAGGATGACCACGATGTGAACGATTGTCCGGATCACCTTTTGTACGATGCAGTCCCAATTCAGCTTGAGTATAACAGCGTCTTTCAAAAGTGAAAATCTTCAAATTTTCAACACAAAGATCACAATAGTAGAGATCATGCTCTTTGCGCACATGATTACGCAGACCTTGAAATGTGCGATAAGGCGGACAGTTGCATCTGCAGATTAATAGATATTAGTTTTAGAATTAAAGTGGATTTTAATTAACATACTTTGGACAAGGGTGATCAAGTAATTCAAAGAATTTCTGTTGTATTTCGCTGGTATAGAAACCAATTTTATATTTTTTACTATAATACTCCGAACGATTTTTCGCCTCAAGTTCGCGATAGGACAATTTATTATAGGTAAATATTACCTAAAAACAAATTAAGAAAAATAAGAGTGAATACTTGGTACTTCACACTGAAGTAATATTCTTCCTTACCTTGGACAACACTTGACGACATATGGGACATTCGTTTTGTTGGCATAAAACTCTCATACGTGTTGAACATTCATAACAAACTGGATGATCACATTCTCCCACCGAAAAGAGATCGACGTTTTTGAAGCAAACCACACAAGCATTGTCATCAACTGTGACATTGCTATTCGATTCTTCCTGTTGTTGCTGCTGCTGACCATCACCTTGAGCAGCAGCATCAACTTGCTGCTTGTTGTTGTTGGACATGGACTTGTCGTTAAACTTTTTCTCAGCGTTCATCGTAAGCTTGTTCCAATTGTATTAATTTTCAGCCACTTAATTGAAAATTTCCTATCTATGCTGTGATAATTCTTTAATTTTTACAATTTTCTTCCTCTTAGGCAAACGTGTGCGTGTCTTCAAAAAAATATGACGTGAATTTATTACAACAATAAAAAACCAATGTCGATGTGTCTGCCAATAAAATGAATTTTTGACGTTTCTTTTAATTTATCTGGCGAAACTTGTGTAAACAAATTTTGTTCTTTCCACAAACTTATCCAAATTTGGTAGGTTTTTATTCGAAAGTTTAAAAGTATTTAAACTAATATTTTTCTTTTGTAATATTTGTAAAAAAGACAAAATTTCACTTTTTAGCGTGGATGTCGTGATTTTTTTTAATCGTAATTCTTCAATATTTTTGTCGAACGATGTAAAGATGCCAGATTGTGTTTTGCAAGGAGTTGACAGCTGATTGAATTAACCCATTAGAAAACGAAGATAACTAACTGTTATATCTATCTTTTTCTTAAATTAACAAAAAAACTGGCCTCCGAATTCCTTCATTTGGCTTCCGAATTCATCCATTAAATCAGGGTTTTGAGATATCATGTCCTAAAAACTAAAAAACCCGGCTTTCTGTCCTATTTGAGATCGTTACTATGTCTAAAAGTCTAATCTGTCGAATTTAAAATAGAGGTTTAACATCTGTCATATCTTTAAGCACATACTGTTATACAACTCAAATATAAGCAAAAACGGGAATTTTTCAGTTTTAAGAACACGATATCGCAAAAAACTGATTCTTTCAAAATTAGGAATATATTTCTGACGATATGTTTGATATATATAGGCGATAGGTGTATCAAAAGATATTCGAACGTTACCTCATACTTTTTTTGTAAATTAACACTTTATTAATAATGTGAAACTTTATACAATATTTAATATATATATACAATATATAATTCATATATAAATTAATGTTCCCAAAAACCAATACTATCATATTTTGTATATAAAAAAAATTCAAAGTGTATATATAAAAAATAATTAATTTTCCAATTGCTACACCTTGTATAAATTCGCCTATCAAACATCTACTGACTTTAACAATGCTGCCATATCGTTACTTATATTGCGAAAAAGAAGAGGCATTGGCAACAGCCGTTTTTCGCCTTTCTCTTTTGTGCTGTTTGTCAAATTAGAAAACAGTGTTGTTAAGTGTATTTTTTTGCCTGGTTTTTTGTCAAACATATCAAAATTAGAAATAACTAGAATGACAGCGACGGCAACTTCATTATTATCATTACGTTTTTTATTCACAAAAATTCCTTCGACTGCTTTGCATCGTCACAACGTGTTTTGCAAACCGGCTTCTTCATCTTCAGCAAATTTTATTATAGAAAATTTGAATTCGTCAGCAAATTTTCAACAACACAAACGGTCAGTGGCGACTACAGCAGTTTCATTAAATAGACAAAATAATTTTGAAATAAAAAACAATAAAATGTCGGCCACACAGGAATATCAAACCATCGAAAAGGGTGCACCCAATTCCACCAACTATAGCATTTATTTCAGTAAGTAAAAGAGCAAAAAAAAAGTGAAAAACAATTTGTGCAAAAAGTTATTTAAATGACATTGGCCATCAAAATTTAAAGGCACTTTTAAGTGGAAGTTTTTTTTTTATTTATTATCATTAATTAAATAGGCTTTTAATACTTGTCTGTAAATCATTTACGACAACAACAATATTTATAGCCGTTGTACACAAGTACTCACACTAGCTTATGCAACGGTGGCGACCGAAGATGACGATAATGTTTTCATTTGTTTAGTGATAAGAATCCAATTAAATTTGCTTTAGTTTACCGGAAAAGTTCTCATTATTGTTTCCCGGTATTCCCCTGTCTAGATGAAAAGTCATTTTAAAAATGTTTATTGAATATTTGTTGTATTTACTTTGTACATATGCATAATTATGATGTATATATACAATTTGGTTTAAGGTGTTATTTGTTCTTCATTATCGATTTATTGTGTTTTGTCTAGTTTTGGACTTTGTGTCAAGTACACTTACATTTCTGGGTTATATACCTACTAGTGATGTCGTTTTTGTATTTTACATCACAATTGTAAATAAAATGGTAAAATCAATTTGGAATATCTTTTGGGTAATCTTACCAATGTCTGTCAGTAATCGGTCCTTATAAATAATATAGGTAAATAAAGTATTCAAAATATCCTTTTCTATTTTTATAAAAAATCAGATTAGATTAGAGCTCTTATATTTCAATTGTTCTTTACACTTTCTAAAACAGCTTGATATGATGTTTGAGTAAAAAACTTTTATAAAAACTATAGGTACTTTTCATTAGATCTTGATAAATCTTTATAAAAATAAAACTTACTGTTTATCTATAAACTAAAATTCTCCTATGAGTCAAATCAACTTGATTTTTTCTTGCGATAAGTGACTTTCGCTTTTTAAGGGCTTCCAATAGAGTTTTCTAAACTTTTCAAACACATATTTAAAAGATCATTTAATTAAAAAAAATTAAGAAATCTATGGTCTATATTATAGACTCTATAAATAAATTTGTAAGTTCTAATTAACATGAAGAAATGGTGTAATTTTGTTGGTATTTATAAATAGCAACCAAAAATTGTATTAAAATATTAAACGGTTTAATTAAATTAGTATTATGTAAAGAGAACTATTTTATTTTAGCTTATCTGTTTTATTAAAAGATAAAAAATTCCATATAATTAAAGCAACTTATCGTTCAGTTAATGCTACACCATAGCATTTAAAACAAGTAATGGTACTAAATTCGGTTATAACGAATCTTACATACCCTTCAGACTAGTTAGTATATAGTCATAGTCTATAGTACTGTCTAGTCTATAGTTTAATATATGTATATATTATTATATATGTAGTCTAGTGTATAGTCTAGTCTATAGTCTAGTCTATAGTCTAGTCTATAGTCTAGTCTATAGTCTAGTCTATAGTCTAGTCTATATAGTCTAGTCTAGTCTATAGTCTAGTCTATAGTCTAGTCTATAGTCTAGTCTATAGTCTAGTCTATAGTCTAGTCTATAGTCTAGTCTATAGTCTAGTCTATAGTCTAGTCTATAGTCTAGTCTATAGTCTAGTCTATAGTCTAGTCTATAGTCTAGTCTATAGTCTAGTCTATAGTCTAGTCTATAGTCTAGTCTATAGTCTAGTCTATAGTCTAGTCTATAGTCTAGTCTATAGTCTAGTCTATAGTCTAGTCTATAGTCTAGTCTATAGTCTAGTCTATAGTCTAGTCTATAGTCTAGTCTATAGTCTAGTCTATAGTCTAGTCTATAGTCTAGTCTATAGTCTAGTCTATAGTCTAGTCTATAGTCTAGTCTATAGTCTAGTCTATAGTCTAGTCTATAGTCTAGTCTATAGTCTAGTCTATAGTCTAGTCTATAGTCTAGTCTATAGTCTAGTCTATAGTCTAGTCTATAGTCTAGTCTATAGTCTAGTCTATAGTCTAGTCTATAGTCTAGCCTATAGTCTAGCCTAGTCTAGTCTAGTCTAGTCTATAGTAGTCTATAGTCTAGTCTATAGTCTAATCTATAGTCTAGTCTATAGTCTAGTCTATAGTCTAATCTATAGTCTAGTCTATAGTCTAGTCTATAGTCTAGTCTATAGTCTAGTCTATAGTCTAGTCTATAGTCTAGTCTATAGTCTAGTCTATAGTCTAGTCTATAGTCTAGTCTATAGTCTAGTCTATAGTCTAGTCTATAGTAGTCTATAGTCTAGTCTATAGTCTAGTCTATAGTCTAGTCTATAGTCTAGTCTATAGTCTAGTCTATAGTCTAGTCTATAGTCTAGTCTATAGTCTAGTCTATAGCTAGTCTATAGTCTAGTCTATAGTCTAGTCTATAGTCTAGTCTATAGTCTAGTCTATAGTCTAGTCTATAGTCTAGTCTATAGTCTAGTCTATAGTCTAGTCTATAGTCTAGTCTATAGTCTAGTATAGTCTAGTCTATAGTCTAGTCTATAGTCTAGTCTATAGTCTAGTCTATAGTCTAGTCTATAGTCTAGTCTATAGTCTAGTCTATAGTCTAGTCTATAGTCTAGTCTATAGTCTAGTCTATAGTCTAGTCTATAGTCTAGTCTATAGTCTAGTCTATAGTCTAGTCTATAGTCTAGTCTATAGTCTAGTCTATAGTCTAGTCTATAGTCTAGTCTATAGTCTAGTCTAGTCTAGTCTAGTCTAGTCTATAGTCTAGTCTATAGTCTAGTCTATAGTCTAGTCTATAGTCTAGTCTATAGTCTAGTCTATAGTCTAGTCTATAGTCTAGTCTATAGTCTAGTCTATAGTCTAGTCTATAGTCTAGTCTATAGTCTAGTCTATAGTCTAGTCTATAGTCTAGTCTATAGTCTAGTCTATAGTCTAGTCTATAGTCTAGTATAGTCTAGTCTATAGTCTAGTCTATAGTCTAGTCTATAGTCTAGTCTATAGTCTAGTCTATAGTCTAGTCTATAGTCTAGTCTATAGTCTAGTCTATAGTCTAGTCTATAGTCTAGTCTATAGTCTAGTCTATAGTCTAGTCTATAGTCTAGTCTATAGTCTAGTCTATAGTCTAGTCTATAGTCTAGTCTATAGTCTAGTCTATAGTCTAGTCTATAGTCTAGTCTATAGTCTAGTCTATAGTCTAGTCTATAGTCTAGTCTATAGTCTAGTCTATAGTCTAGTCTATAGTCTAGTCTATAGTCTAGTCTATAGTCTAGTCTATAGTCTAGTCTATAGTCTAGTCTATAGTCTAGTCTATAGTCTAGTCTATAGTCTAGTCTATAGTCTAGTCTATAGTCTAGTCTAGTCTAGTCTATAGTCTAGTCTATAGTCTAGTCTATAGTCTAGTCTATAGTCTAGTCTATAGTCTAGTCTATAGTCTAGTCTATAGTCTAGTCTATAGTCTAGTCTATAGTCTAGTCTATAGTCTAGTCTATAGTCTAGTCTATAGTCTAGTCTATAGTCTAGTCTAGTCTATAGTCTAGTCTATAGTCTAGTCTATAGTCTAGTCTATAGTCTAGTCTATAGTCTAGTCTATAGTCTAGTCTATAGTCTAGTCTATAGTCTAGTCTATAGTCTAGTCTATAGTCTAGTCTATAGCCTAGTCTATAGTCTAGTCTATAGTCTAGTCTATAGTCTAGTCTATAGTCTAGTCTTTCTAATTTCTAATTTCAATAATTTTTAAACTCTTGTAGAAACTGCTTGCGGTAAAGGAGTCTCACCACTACACGATATCCCTTTGTATGCCAATGAAGAGAAGACCGTTTACAATATGGTGGTTGAAGTACCACGTTGGACCAACGCTAAAATGGAAGTGAGTAAAGGAAATATTTTCAATCATAAAAATTTTAATTGCTAAATGGCGTGCCGTGTTTTATTGCTAATTTAGATTAGTTTGAATAATCCTTTGAATCCCATTAAACAAGACGTGAAAAAGGGTAAATTGCGCTTCGTAGCCAACTGTTTCCCACACAAGGGTTACATTTGGAATTATGGTGCTTTCCCACAAACCTGGGAAAATCCCGATCACATTGAACCCAGCACTGGTTGCAAGGGTGACAATGATCCCATTGATGTTTTGGAAATTGGCTATCGTGTAGCTAAACGCGGTGCAGTCGTACAGGTTAAGATTTTGGGTACCATTGCTTTGATTGATGAAGGTGAAACCGATTGGAAAATCATTGCCATCGATGTTAATGATCCCTTGGCTGAGAAAATGAATGATATTACCGATGTTGATAAGTACTTCCCTGGTTTGTTGCGTGCTACCGTTGAATGGTTCAAAATCTATAAGATTCCCGATGGCAAACCCGAAAATCAATTTGCCTTCAATGGTGATGCCAAGAATGCTGCTTTTGCTACCAATGTCGTAAGTGAAACTCACAAATTCTGGCAGGGATTGATCAATAAACAATTGGAGGGTGGTTCTATTTCTTGGTGAGTTCTTTGTATACATTGAATGTTATCAATATTAATGTATTATTTTTATAGCCTTAATACAACCGTTGCTGATTCACCATTCCTTACAAGTCAAGAAGAGGCTGAAACTGTTATCTCCGGCGCCGCCGAAGGTGGTGATGTCGAAGAAGTTTCTGACATAGGTAAGATTTTCTATTTACCTCACAACATTTATTCAAAGTTGTAGTTAGTTTTACAAAATGCACTCGCTAATAAATGTTTGCTGTCTTCTTGCCACACAATATTTTTATAAAACACGTTTTATTGTAGAAATAATCACACCATCAAAAAGTCTAGTGTATTTTTTTATCTGTTAATCAACTCTTTAACTATCGTATTATTAATATTATCTTAAGAAATGGTTCTACACTCCTTTTTTAAGGTTTAACACATTTTAATGTATGTATTTCAAGTTATAAGGTGTCCAGTTATGACCTTAGATTTGAAATTATTATGGCGCTTAAAAGTGAAACATTTTCGAATTTCATAAAAATTTTTATAAAATTCGAAAATTTTTCCTAAATGCTTTAATATAAAATAAATTGCTTTTTTTGCTAGTAAAACTTGTAAAAAATCAGTAGTCTAGTCTTTAGTCAAGACTATAGTCTAGTCAAGAGTATAGTCTAGTCTATAGTTTAGTTTATAATCTAATCTATAGTCTAGTCTATAATCTAGTTTATAAAATAATCTATAATCTAGACTATAGTCTAGTCTATAGTTCCAGTCTATTAAATGCTTAATTTCTGCTTGGTAGTAGAATTTTTTGTAAATTTTGAGAATATTGTAACGATTTTTGGTTTTTTCTCTTTTCTTTTTATTTCAGTTGATAAATGGCATTTCATTCACTTGAAGTGAAAACAAGCAGCTTTGATATTTTTACAAAATGTTAAGATTTTATGGTTTAAAACGCATTAAACAAAATTTAAATTAAATTATGAATTATATTTAAATTAAATTACCCCTTTGCAACATGAAATACTTTAACAAAACAAAAAATACACTTACAAAAATAAGCACAGAAAAAAATTAAAGGTTTTTATTATTTAATAAAGTGAAAATTAATAAATGGAAAATAAAAAAATCATAGCATTTTCAATCGAAACGTGGAGAAATCCCCTTATTTGTGTTGGTCAAAACGAATACTTTGTATTTCGAAAGTTTTCGTTCTTTTGAATGGAATCACGTATAATTCCTCTAAGCTAAAGAGCCAGCCGTTGTGACCGTTCACGTTTGTGTTAGCCGGAACGGATTATAACATGACACAGGACATTTATGTTTCAGGTTTGAAAGATTCGCCATGTAACCAGGAAAATGTGACATTGGAGAAAAAGTTTTGATGTTATAGACTTTCATAGAAATAAAAACAGCTGCTTCAATGTAACTCCGGATGTACCGGTTTGGACCGTTCACGTTTGTGTTAGCCGGAACGGATTATAACTTGACACAGGATATTTATGTTTCAGGTTTGAAAGGAAAATGTGACATTTGGAGAACAAGTTTTGATGTTATAGATTTTTATAGAAATAAAAACAGCTGCTTTTGTGTAACTGCGGATGTACCGGTTAGGACCGATAGTGCAGCCTTAAAAAATTCTATTAAAAACGAAATTATTTAATAAATAACTGAAATAAATTGGAAATTCATACAAAAATTGTTTTATTTATGTGTATGAAGCGAAATCGATGAAAACTGATCGATAGCAATGATTTTCATGGAAAACTGATCAAAGACAAAATTCAAATGTGAACGTTTACAATGTTTTCTGTAGGAAACTGACCTAAATTTCTTTTAAATGGGTATTTTCCTTAGTCTTTTCCTTGGTCTTATAAAAGACCCTAAATATGTATATAGGGCCTTATGTTTAAAATTTGTTTTATAATCCTTGTGACAAACCTTTGTCTGGGGGTGGAACTGGCACGCTGGTGGTTGCACGGCATTAGCTCGTCGGATTGGGGTCGGTTCTTTCCCACCCAGTTTGTCGACATTTAAATTTTCTCGTGCCTTCTAAGATTCCCAAATATCCTAAAATTAACACTTAACATAACAACTGGGACACAATGTAATGGTTTACCGTATATATTAGATGAACGGACGTTTTGACAGTAGCAGGTGGATTAATTCGGTGGTTAATTGTATCAGGAATCACTGAAGGTACGGTTGGAGTTACCTTCCCGGGATGCCCACCCCTGATATGGCGTTATTATAGCCATCCATGGTCCCTATGTACCCGTGTTTGAATTCGTAGGAACCCCTAAGTAAAACTTACCATTCGCCATGACTCACACCATTACCTTTCTCTTCTTCAGCCTTGCATTCTTATGAACACTTATATGCAAAACGTTTCAAATTTTAATCTTAAAAGTAAACATATTTTTTTTTATTAATAGAAATTATCTTAAACAATTAGTTTCATACGGAAGTAATGCTATAGAAAAATAACAATTATCAAATAATCAAACAATAACAATAATAACAAATAGTATATACAAATTTAAAAGAAAAAGTTATAATTTAAAGGCTAGATAGTGAAGATTTAACATGAGTCTAATAATTTTATGATATAGGTATGTGAATATGTATAAACTAAACAAAATATATACTATAGTTTGCATAAGTTCTTTTTTTTTTTTTTTTTTAAGTATCTACATATATATTATCTATTATTACATATATTTTCTTTTACTATACCATTTAAATGTTCATGACAGGATTTTGTATCGGATTTATTCATTAACTCATTTACTTATTTATATAGTTGTTTTTATGGTTATTTATTTCTTTACTTTATTTATTTATTTAATTAATTGATCAATTTATTAATTTATTTATTTATTTATTTATTTATTTAATTCATTAATTTATTTCAAAAAAAATTATTTTAAATAAACGTTTATTTAGAATATTATTTAGGTTTATATTTCTCTTAAGAGCATTGTAAGAAATCCGATAAATTAAGACATTAAATTAATTGTTAAATCGAAATATTAAATTATTCTTATTATTATCCTATATGTTTGAGAACAATTAATGGATCAAATTATGGAATAATTTGTAAATTTGATCAATTAACTGTCAGAATCAAACTATTAAATGGTTTTAAGTTTGTTTTAACAAATTAGTGATATTTCCTTTTGGGGTATATAATATATAAGTCTGTTCAATAACAAAATGAATTATTATGAATTATACCAAATTGTTTTATTTTTTTTATTTTTCTGTTTGCTCACCCAAACATAGAATATATTTGTATGAATGTTTCTCTTGTTTATTGTAAATAACTTTTTGTTATTGAACAGATCGGATATTAACAATTTTAATTAATGTAATTATATAAAAAAAATATGTATACTTATTATTAATTTATTCAAATTTATATGTCTTAATTATTTTGAAAAAAAATAAAGGATTTTGAATTAAAAGAAGGACTATGAATTACAATACAGCTTACAACACAAATTTGAATTATAATATTCTTTTCTCGTTTCAAAAAAAAAATTTTGTGTAAAAGATTTTTTTTTTCTTTTTTGGAACGATTTTGTATTCTTTTGATTTCCTTAAATCATATACTGTCATATAACGACATATACGCTAGTACACAACATACCACAATGACTTTGAACACGTTTTTTTTCTGAAGGTGACCCTATGTGTCCACCACGACCTTCAGAGGTCGAATAGGTCATGAAATGTCAAGTTATGGTTCGACTTATACTACAATTTTAGGGCTTACCCTGGAAGTTTTGCTTTTCTTTAACCGTTGTATCTCAAATTCTGTTCCACAGTTTAAAATCGAGGTTAGTGGTTTGGGACTACCCTGTTCTACCTCTGGTTTCTGTCTGGGCTTCAAAAATAGTGGTTTTTCTGATTTCTCCCTCTTAAGGCGGACTTACACCGAACCGGTGCACAGTTGTTGTTGTCTCCACTAAGTTTAATTCGTTTAAATTTTCAGACCTAGATGACTCTGTGATCTGTTTTTTTTTTCTTTTGCAAACAAACAAAACTAAATTACCATTGATATTCTTAATCATTATCATTAATGATTTTATACAACAATAACAATACAGAACATGTTTTACAATTATATGAATATTTATGTTCATGTAATGTATTATCATATTGCATAATGTCGTTACTAATTTGTCGTCATATTAGTAACGATGTGTATTTACAAGAAAAAATTTTAAGAAATCGTTCTTACCTTTGAATGTCTTGTCAACGGTTTGAATCGGTTAATTTAATCTATTTAAAACAATTTTCTCCAACGGATTTGAAATTTTCCCACTATCTATTTGATTAAAGCAAAACTTCAAATTACACAATTTTGCATAGACTTTACACTCTAACTTCCATTTAATCAATGATCGATACAAACGTGATCATAAAGTATCGATGATCGTCAAAATCAATAATCTTCGGGTTTTTTTATGTTCTTTTCGTCTATCCAAGAGCACTGTAAGGTCATTCTATGTTCTTTTCGTAGTGTATATTACTGTGAATGACCTGAACCCTACTGCCCCCTATATGTCATGATCATGCTAATGAATGACGTTTGGTGTTGTACTAAAAAGTTAGGTCAAGAGCAAACCAAAAAAAATGGGAAAGAAGGGACCAAAACAAAACAAACAAATAAACAAACTACATTTCTCAAATTTTTGTCGTGAAGTTTAGAATTTTAATAAAGAATTTAAATAAGGAGATTTTTTTTTAAATCAGAAAACCGTCAGTAAAAAATGACCTATTCGGAGTGCTCTCCATGAAAGAATGGATGGAGTACGGAGAGTTCATCACGATAACTCGTTCTTTTTTCCTTTGAAGGCAGTATTGTGATGATAAACAACCAGCGATGTGGGTATGTGGTACTGAAAGGTGCTATTCCTAGTCAGGTAATGTTCCTTAAAACAAGGTGACCGTCACAAAGCCAGTGTTTGTTGCGTAACCTGTGTAGCAACAAAAACTGGGAACTGCGCAGCCGGGCACGTTGTGAATATCTAGGTACGTTTTGTGTTGCTGTAAAATTTAGGGCCTTGTTAATATTCCAGGTAAGTTTAAATAGTGTGAAGTCATTCATTTTTTTCTCTACAACCATTAAATGTAATTTGTATTCACACAGGTTCTATTATTCCTCCGATGTTAACATTTCTACAACTTCCCCTATATGAGACACACTAAGTTCTTTACCGTATCACTATGGCATTAAGTATAATTAGTTATATATTCCTATTGTCATATACCGTTCCCTTGTCCATTCATTAAATGCTAAACATTTTAATTTTCCCTCCAGGTAAATCTTTTTTCAAAAAAAAACGTGGCAGATTTGAATAGTTACTAGGTCCTGTATACAATTAGGAATGTTTCGTGTAATCGCCTTGGGTTCTAAAGTTTGTTTCGGATTAGTGCTGATAACTGTGTCATAAGATGGTGAGTAAAATTTTCCATTTGTCTTTCTTTCGATTTAAGATACTACGATTTACCTATTCGTCTACTAAGTGCCGATTCTAATCGATTCAAACGCCTTGGATTATTCTAAAATTAATTGATTTACTATGCAAATATCTGTTTTTGCATTTTGCAACTAAGTCAACAAAATGCTAACTGAACATGATTATTCATATTATAAAGAAAAGCCTTGATACGTAGTGTTAGAAGATAGATTCGAAAATCTTTATTTTTTTGAGATCTAAACCAATCCATCAAAATGAAGAAATTTTAAACTGTATATGTTCCATACTAAATGTTTAGTAATCCTTCTTTCAAACCTATCCTTACTTATACTTCACCTAAAATCCTGTTGTCTGTAGGTATTTTGGTCATGTGATCAAATCTTATTTTTCGTTTCCTATATTCTCTAAGGACAGTTTTGGCATGTAAAACTATTGCTTGAGATGTTGGGCATGCATAATACCGATTAATTGACCGTTTAAATTCTCAACTTCATATTGATTAGATCCCAATTTTCTTCTTATCCTACACTTTAACCAGGGCTTACACAGTTTCGCATTTATGCCTTTTGCAAAATTGCTCTGTATAAAGTTTTTTCTATAGATTTCTTGCCCCTCTCTAAATGTTACGTACT